TTTTTTCACTAAAATCGATCCGGGGGGACCCGGGGAGATCGGAAATTCGATTCAAAGTTGTTTCCTGCATTTTGGCGAAAAACTAGAGTCGAAAAACTGTGCAAATTGGGTTAAATGTGGGGGAAAAAAAGGCAAACTTTGAGCGGCTGTAACTTCCGAACTAATTCAGATAAAGCATCCTGGTTTTTTGTGCCGTATAGAACCAGACATTGTCTACCCACCCACCAAAGCGCAACCCTGTAGCAGTTACGGTTCGCCTTCAGGGGCAGCTACAAAAAGTCGTATTGAAACGCAAAAAACCGGCCAAAATCGGCCATTTTTTAGTCATTTTGATCAGGAAAAATTTCTAAGTTGGACCAAAAAAAAATTTTCTTTTTTTTCACTAAAATCGATCCGGGGGGACCCGGGGAGATCGGAAATTCGATTCAAAGTTGTTTCCTGCATTTTGGCGAAAAACTAGAGTCGAAAAACTGTGCAAATTGGGTTAAATGTGGGGGAAAAAAAGGCAAACTTTGAGCGGCTGTATTTTCCGAACTAATTCAGATAAAGCATCCTGGTTTTTTGTGCCGTATAGAACCAGACATTGGCTATCCACACACCTAAGTGCAACCCTGAAGCTGTTACGGTTCGCCTTCAGGGGCAGCTACAAAAAGTCGTATTGAAACGCTAAAAACCGGCCAAAATGGGCCATTTTTTAGTCATTTTGATCAGGAAAAATTTCTAAGTTGGACCAAAAAAAAATTTTCTTTTTTTTCACTAAAATCGATCCGGGGGGACCCGGGGAGATCGGAAATTCGATTCAAAGATGTTTCCTGCATTTTGGCGAAAAACTAGAGTCGAAAAACTGTGCAAATTGGGTTAAATGTGGGGGAAAAAAAGGCAAACTTTGAGCGCCTGTAACTTCGGAACTAATTCAGATAAAGCATCCTGGTTTTTTGTGTCGTATAGAATCAGACATTGGCTACCCACTCACCAAAGCCCAACCCTGTAGCAGTTATGGTTCGCCTTCAGGGGCAGCTACAAAAAGTCGTATTGAAACGCAAAAAACCGGCCAAAATCGGCCATTTTTTAGTCATTTTGATCAGGAAAAATTTCTAAGTTGGACCAAAAAAAAATTTTCTTTTTTTTCACTAAAATCGATCCGGGGGGACCCGGGGAGATCGGAAATTCGATTCAAAGATGTCTCATGCATTTTGGCGAAAAACTAGAGTCGAAAAACTGTGCAAATTGGGTTAAATGTGGGGGAAAAAAAGGCAAACTTTGAGCGGCTGTAACTTCCGAACTAATTCAGATAAAGCATCCTGGTTTTTTGTGCCGTATAGAACCAGACATTGTCTACCCACCCACCAAAGCGCAACCCTGTAGCAGTTACGGTTTGCCTTCAGGGGCAGCTACAAAAAATCGTATTGAAACGCAAAAAAACGGCCAAAATCGGCCATTTTTTAGTCATTTTGTTCAGGAAAAATTTCTAAGTTGGACCAAAAAAAAATTTTCTTTTTTTTCACTAAAATCGATCCGGGGGGACCCGGGGAGATCGGAAATTCGATTCAAAGTTGTTTCCTGCATTTTGGCGAAAAACTAGAGTCGAAAAACTGTGCAAATTGGGTTAAATGTGGGGGAAAAAAAGGCAAACTTTGAGCGGCTGTAACTTCCGAACTAATTCAGATAAAGCATCCTGGTTTTTTGTGCCGTATAGAACCAGACATTGGCTACCCACCCACCAAAGCGCAACCCTGTAGCAGTTACGGTTCGCCTTCAGGGGCAGCTACAAAATGTCGTATTGAAACGCAAAAAACCGGCCAAAATCGGCCATTTTTGCGAAAAACTAGAGTCGAAAAACTGAGCAAATTGGGTACAATTCGATTCATGCAACAAAAAGTTTCCTTTTTTCTCCAAAAATTTACCGAATTTGCACAGTTTTTCGACTCTAGTTTTTCGCCAAAATGCAAGAAACAACTTTGAATCGAATTTCCGATCTCCCCCGATTTTATTAAAAAAAAAAGTCCAGAAGATGAAATTTACACTGTTTGTAGTTTGAACTGTTAGCCATAAACTGCGAGTTCGTATCTCTTTTAATTTGGAAGTGCTGAGCGTTTCAGATTTCTCTATGACAAACAGATAATTTTGGCACTTTTTCGCAAAAAAAAGTGTTCAGATTTCACTTTTATGTACTTTTATGGGGGACTCTTAGCGAAGCACCGAGTCTAAGAAAGCCAATTACATTGATTTTCAAGACCTAAAAAATGAATTTTTGACCCACAGGTTGGTAATTTTGTTACATGGCCGATTCTCACTTTTTTATACGCCCATATGAAAGATGTATTTTGACATGGTGTGAAGTGATTGTTATTACCTAAGGATGAATCCTACTGAAAATCTGAAAACTTAAAAAAAAAAATAGTATGAGTTATATTATACTCTATAAGGTACAATTTCTGACAATTTTGACAAAACTTTGCGTGTATGTTTCTTTTTGAAAATCATAAAATCGAAACATATTTATCATGATATATTGCCTTTTCTCTTGAAGACACTCTTATCGACACAATTCTTAACGGATTTTGACGAAACTTGGTGTGACTGTTGGCAAACACTCAGGGATGACCCTATCTAAAATCAAAATGTCGAAAACTATTTGACATGAGCCATTGCCTTGTCCTTGAAAAATCTCAAACTCGTAAACAATAGAATGCACGATTCTTGAAGGATTTTGTCGATACTTGGTGTGACTGTTTGCAATCACCCAAGGATGACCCTATCTAAAATGAAAAAATCGTGCCGGATTTTGACAAAGCTTTGTAATATTTTTCTGGTGATTTTAGACGCTACTGTACCGTAATTCTAGTATATTATACAGACCATCTGTTGTATTGGTGATATTTCAATCTGGATGCTGTTCATTTTCTCACTAATTTCAGCAATTCTGGCTTGTCCATTACTTACTCTCGTGATCTTTTTTCTGTCTCCCAAAATATTTGACTGTTTTCGTTGCCTTGAACCAAAATAAAAGTATTAGTACTCATTTTTTAAATAGATATAGCCAACCTTCCAAGTGGCACGAAAATCATGTTTTATATAGCTAGATTTGCTGTTACTACTTTATCAATCCCGAAATAGGTCGAGATAATACCTTCTGATTTTTCAACCCCGTTTCCCACTGTCAGTGATGCAGTTAAGAGGGGCCGAAATGGAAAAAGCGTCTAGTCCTTCGGATGGGACAATAAAATGAGGCTATGTGTGCCACAGGCTGTGTACGTTAAAGATCCGTCGACAGTTCGAAATCGAAAAGAGCAGGCTAATGCCCCTGTCCTTGCAAAATTTCCCTCATCGCATTCTGCATAGCGCTGTCCGTCTTCATTAGCGCACAAGGTGCAGAAAAGTAGGACGTAAAACTCCATTCATTTCATTTCATTACTATTTTAAGTAACTTACGTAAATGTTATTTTTTACCATACGACACTAAAAATGTAAGTATCACTTATGAAATTGTCTTCAAAATTAATGACAGATACTGTTTATTTTTTCGTGTTATGTGTAATTACCCAATATGTAAATTAAAATTTCGTCTTTAAAATAGTATTTATAGTCTAAGATAGCCTTGATAAAACCAATATTTATAATCACTTTTAAATCTTTATTTACAGGGGAAAACTTTCAGTCAAAACCTTAAATGTATACTAAAGACCTGTGACTGAAAATTGGAATGGTACAAATCGATGCTATCAGTGTCCCCAACACAATAAGATGTTTAGAAATTATCAATACAATCCCTCAAAGAAAGATAGTGGACCACAGCCATATACGCCCACCACGGCATGCGAATGGTAAATATTCAAGATTTTGGGGCAAGGGCGATAACTCTGCTTCTAACGGTCGAAAATAGCTCAAATTCTTGATCTTCGTTTTATGAATATGTAAACATATACCGAATTTCATTTGATTCCATCAAAAAATCTAGTTTTTAGAGCGTTTACAAGCAAATGTTGACGGACCTTCGTTTCATGAATATGTATGCACATACCGAATTTCATTTGATTCCTTCAAACACTTCAAGAGTGTTTACGAGCAATTGATGTTGATAGAAGCACTTACTGTATAGAGGTTAAAGGGCGATAACTCCTCAAAACTGGCGTAAGAGGCCTAGCCTTTGATTCCATCAAAAAATTTAGTTTCTAGAGCGTTTACAAACAAATGTTGACGGACGGACGGACGGACCGACGGGGCTGCCGACAATATACGTCCACATAGAGAGATGTGGGCGTATAAAAACAGACACTTTAACAAAAATGTATATTAATCCAATTTATTTTTTCTACCAATGAATAATACAGGCTATTTTTAATTTACAACATGATATATTAAAAAAGTAATACATGCATATTAAAGATGGGTTCCCTTATTTCATTGATGAAAATGAAAATGCTAACACTTATATGAATAGAAAGAAGTTCTGATGACTTGAAAAAATACCTGTTTGTCTCACATGTCCATAATTAATTCATAATAAGCTAAATTATTACCAGCAGAATTCCAATGAGTGACCGATCAAGAAAGGTCAAAAAGTATTTTTTTGTTTATCCAGACTTGTCCATACATGGACATTTATGTTTGGATAAATTTTTGATTATATGCAATAATAACATGATGATATGATTAATAATATATGATAATTAATTAGAAACACCAATTAATCAAATAGTTTGCTCTAGTTGACACTAAAAAATAAGGAAACCCGTCTTTAAATTAGTTTTACTGGCCCCATTATTTTTACAATATGGAAGTACCATTGCAGCATGGTGCAGGATTAAAGTGAGAAAAGACTAATCTCAAGTGCAGGATTATCCATACAGTGTGCTACAGGCTGTGCACGTTGAAAGGATACTACCTCTTAGAATGGACATGCAGATGCATGAACAAAGACTCATTTTAACCAAGTCTTAAAACTTAAATTTTTTGGTTATCCTAAGAGGTAATATAACTTTAAAGATCCTTTGAATTCAGTCTGAATGATATTTGATTAGAAAATAGAGATCAGCAAAGAAAACAACAGTAGCAAATATCAAACCAGACATCATTTGTAATGGTAAGGAAGAGCCTACAGAATATTCTACAGATTTATAACCGAAAGCAAAGGCACCGCCAACTGTCACAATAAAATTAAATACAGCAATTAAATGTCTGTTCAAAGCTTTAATATCATCCCCAAATTTATCCGCATGATATTTCTGTGTTAAATCCACATTTTTAGTCATTTCCTTGTATTCTTTATTGGCTTGCTGTAATTTTAATTTGTCTATCCGGGCTTGTAATTCAGGATTTCTCACTGGGGGAGGGGGTGATGGTAAAAATATATCACTATCACTGATCATTTCATGTAAATAAACATCATCTCCATTGGATACTAATGTTTTATGAATATCCTGCACTAAATCAAAGGAAATTGTCTTAATATCATTTTTTTCTAAGATTTTAGTGAGTTCACTTTTCAAATGTGATCCACACTTCTTACACCTGACTGCCTGAGAAGCAAATTTCCTGATTTGCTTTGACAATAAAATAGCTGGTTCAGCAATCTCCATCTTAATTTTTTTCCACCAAGGATCTAAAAATTAATGCTTGAAATAAAAAAAATACAGTTATGAAGAGATAATTAGACTGGAGATTTGAAAACTGTATCTGATCTCTAGTCCAATAGAAGTCAAAAGCACTGGCAATTGCTTCAGAATTTTTTGTTGAAAATGGATTGGTACCCATGTCACTTATTCGACTAGAAGATGATAATCAAACTCAACCCCCAAGCAAACAAAGTTAAAACTTAAAACTCTTATAAGAAAAACCAAGAATGATATTACTATAATAATGATAAACTCTTTATTTTACATGGGTCAGAATTTGGCCCAATAAACAAGAACATGGTCCTGTCTAACATTCAACCCATTGGGACAACCAAAAGTACACAATACCTCAATGGCAATCTTTTTGGCAAATACACAAGTACATGTGTATTAGATGGACTGACTATGTTGCTGTGATAAGTACATGACCACAAAAAATGTACAATATTCTGTATTGTTTTCAGCTCAGGCATAGTTCCCCTTTAATACTACCGGTATTAATACTTTTAGCAACGCAATTGTATCAAAAACAAATATAATTATGTAGTCCACTAGATACCTTAAAAAACCTTCAATATTTGTTCAATCTTTCCTGATTTTTCTTCGATGTGATGTTCTTTCTGATGAACTAGATTGAGCTATATCATTACTTCCTAATAATTCTCTAACAAATTTAAACTTGGATAAAAATAACTTCCATACAACATACCATCCTAAAATAAACAAATAACTCAAAATTTTAGTCCAGGTCAATGTACATGGTGGTAGTAAAATGCCAAATGTACCCATCTAAAATCATGCTGAAAATAGTCAGCAGAATACGTCTAAAGATACGTTTACAGTTGCAACCATAAAGACACTGTACTGGTTATCTTTAAAGGGACAGATGTGCCATTTCGAGGGGTTGATTTGACTCTTGAATGTATATCACTTGAAATGTACAAAAATCACATGATTCCTTCAAAATTATCTCAAACTAGAAATACCTTTCCCCATTTCTATAGATGTCTTTTCTATATGGAAAAGACAACTTGTCCTTTGATATGCGGATAATTCTGGACACATACAGATTTGAGGGCTCAAATTTCGATGGTGAGCTGTGAACAATGTTATTGATTGGCTTGGCTAAAAAATTCCTGTCTCTGAGACTAAGGTATGAATGGTCAAATATTTGGCGCACTAGTACCTTTAACTTATATAGAAGTAAGAGAGAGAGACTCAAGTTTATTTGTCAACTATCAAGTTTTTGGGTTACATTGAAGCCTGGCCATGGGGCAAACCACCCTTACCATAGCAAACAGATAAACCTGACAATTTAGATATTTCATCAGTTAATAGTATATTTACAAAGACAATCATGTGATTGTGAACTATCTCGTTCATTTTACTCTCTAAATTAAAGTAGCATTGCCCACAATATGATAAATATTTACCTCTCACAAAAGATATTTATCATAAGAATAAGGCCTACCCCCATACACCTTTCTTAAATTATTGTCTATTTATCTGTACATAATATTTTTTAGAAAAGGATGGATGATTGAGAAAAACGTTTTTATGGGTACTGCTATAAAACTAAAGGTGTGAGGGTGTTTGACACGAAGTTACTACATTGAAATGACAATGACAAATATATGTCTAGGTCTTATATGCTAATTATATAAAAGACTAGGACTAGGTTTTTGATTACACTCACTCACCCAATGCAATAAACAAGATAACTAAAATTAAAGAAATTATTAATGTGATTGCCGATATAATGAATTCTTTCATTGTCATAAATGTACAACAAAAAATGATGAAGTCATTCCTCCACTGACTTCGAGTAGAAAATACAAGAGTTATCTGCTTATAATGAAATCGTACAATTTAGAAGCAAATTAAGAGGGTAAACGAAAATAATTTTTCTTTTTTTTTTTTTAAATCTATAAAGTATATTGAAAATGCTGATGAAGATAAATTTTGAAAATTGTGGTATCTTTTCAAAATTTTCTGTTGTTTTTCTTTCAAAATCCGAGTACCATTTCGTATCATTCTACAGATGCAAATCCTATTTTTGTTAATACCAGCATACAACATGGCGCTTGCAGAAGTTTGTGGATTGAAGCTTCCGAAATCTTTTGCCTCTCAAGGCGAAAGGAATCAATTATTTAATAACTGCGGTGGCAACTATGGTAGTTCCATGGTTAATGATGCTGTATACGGAAGTCAAAACTTTGTCACACCTTGTGATTTGGATGTAAGACTGATATTCTGTGAACTTTAGCTTCTGATATCAAAATTGCATTGTCACACTCTCAGTCTAGACTCTAGGTAGGGTAGGCAAAATAAAATTGGTCACCTAGCATTACAAGATATTAAGTTTGCATTCCATTAGATTGATTATAAAATCCTGGTTGCCAATTGGCACCAGTCTAAATATAAACAAACACTTGATTTAAAGGCTTCCATTTCTTTTTTAGCCTTTAGAAACTCGAAATTCATTTACCAATGAAAAATCTGATGTCAAGATACATTTTGATCATGGTACAACAACATTGGCTTTTAAATTTAAACATGGTTGTATTGTTGCTGTTGACTCCAGAGCTACAGCTGGGTCTTATATAGGTAAGTATCTTAAAAAAATATTAATGATCAGGTTGACAGTATAAATTGTATCCTGGTGCATGGAATCTATACGGGTTATAGTCAAAATGGTTTAGGGCCATTATGACTATAACCCATCTATACGTTGTACACATTAATGATGACCAGTATTATCTATCTTTAAGCCTCACAGACAGTAAAGAAAGTAATTGAAATTAATCCTTATTTATTGGGAACAATGGCTGGTGGGGCTGCTGACTGTTCTTTCTGGGAAAGACATTTGGCCAAGGAGTGCAGGTAATTATATAACATATTATTTGAAAAACCAAGTGTTCAATTATCATGAAAATTTTTTTGGTCCAGATACTTTATATGTCTTTGGTATAGGAGCTAAAGCTTTAATGAGAAATTAAAATTATTTTGAAAAAGGTCCATTTGAATTGTATCTGAAATATGAATCTGTAATATAACAATCAGCAAAATAACCAATATTCATAATGTTCATAACATATGATAATGTTTAAGCTTATATTATCACCTGATTGTTATTTCTGTTTGAAATTTTATTAAAAAACTGAATTTTTTCTAGATTATATGAGTTAAGAAATAAAGAAAGAATATCAGTAGCTGCTGCTAGTAAATTACTAGCTAATACAGTTTATAACTATAAAGGCATGGGATTGTCTATGGTAAGTTTGTTGTATTTCAATTGTAGAAGGTACCCTCCCTTGCACCATTTTCATGGTGGCAACGCTTTTGGATTTCTAACACCACATTTCACATTTGTTATCAATTTTTTTAAGAGGTTTCCAACTTTCTAGACAAGCTGTTCTTGTGGTTGAAATATTGTGTGCATATCAGATTTCTGATCTTGTACCAGTTGTATGATTCGACAAACTGGGAATAAATGCCAGCGTTGAATTCCATATGCTCCCTCACACCTGCCAAGGAATTCAAATGTTAAAACTGAAACATGATGTGTAACTATTTAAATGTTTCTTTTTCAGGGTACAATGATAGTTGGATGGGATAAGAAGGTTAGTTATTTAGTTTACTATCAGCTATCTTTGTAGTTTATTTTAGTATTTTTTTTCACCTATCTTTTGCAAGTTGCTTCTCTCAAATATGGGCTTTAATGCAATGAATGAGGGACAACTAAAAATTAGGGCTTTATCAGAACACTGATTGCATCAATTCGCTACATTCAAACATTCAGTCAGACATCTATGGGGATTGTAATTCCACTGAAACAAAGGTTACGTGAATTTCTTCAACTTCAGGGACCAGGCCTGTATTATGTGGACAGTGATGGTGAAAGATTAACTAATAACATGTTCTCAGTGGGATCTGGATCAACTTATGCCTATGGTGTATTAGACAGTGGCTACAGTTGGGATTTATCAGTAGAGGATGCATATGAATTAGGAAAGAGATCTATTTATCATGCTACTCATCGTGATGCTTACAGTGGTGGTGTTGTAAACTGTAAGTATTGTATTTAAACTGATACAAGTTATTGCCCTTGTTTTAACACGTTTGAGGGCCTGAAGCGAGCCAAAATTGCTAGATTGCTAGTCTGCCTATATAATGTCCTGCATGTATTTTTATGTAGAGCAGACCAGGCTGGTATTTTTATATAAACACATGACTGTGATAATCGACATAGTGGAAAACAACCGACTGGAGATTTTTTCTCTCCCTGTGCGTCCTCAGCTGGTCGGTGAAACTCTAGACAAGACTCTTGTCATTGACAAAAAACGTCAACCAAGATTGTATACCAGTGATCAATTACAAAACAATAAGCCATAACTATTTTCATTGCAATCTTTGTAAGACATTTAGAAGTATCAAGTATCCAAACAAATTGTTGTCTCTTAATATTTTCATTGTGTTTATTTTTCCAGTGTATCATATGAAACAAACTGGATGGATTAAAGTATCACAGACAGATGTTAAAGAATTACATTATAAATATCAAGAAGAAAAAGCAAAGAAGAAATAAATTCCTGGAAGTCTCTAAGACAATTCATTTCATGTCAATGTTCTAATGGACTATCATTGTGTCATATTGTTTATATATTATTATTACACTGAACTGACGACTCCAATAAAAAAAGTTCACTAACTTCATGAAAGATTCTCATTATTGCTGTCAATACAAATACTTATGGAATTATCTTATGTTATTTACTCTGGGGGTAATAGACACTTCCCTCCTTAAACTTACACAAGGAATTATATACTTATATGCTTAGGTAAGTAATTGGTAACAAGCCCCTAACTTATATCACATGGAGACATATGAAAATATATTTAGTCATCTTAGCAATATTCAAGGTATTACAAAATTTGTCTTATACCTTGACTGCAATAGCCACTGTACTTGTATTATGGATTTGGTGGATACCTTCTGCATATAGATTAGATGTATTATACAAATTCTTTCAAAAATTTATTAAATCACAACATAACAAACAAATAAATATTGCCTATATCACAAATTAGTATCAATATCATACAGTATACATGCATAACAATTGTAAAAAAAAATATGGCCAGAAACACCCATTTCAGTACATAACCTGTAAATTAGAAATCTTTTATGTTCCATTTTACCAAAATGCCATTCTTGATGTATTCTTTCCTTGCCTTACATAATCTGCAGAAATTGTTATGAGAAGAATGTTATAGGTCATAGGTCATTAGAGTATTTCAGCCAATAAGGGGAAGGTTCACAATTTTCGGGGTAGGGGGCTGATTTGGTTCTTGAAGATATGTAAATGGTCTTCAGAAAAAATAGAAAATATGCGGTGAGCCGTGAACACTATTACTGATTAGCTAAGCTATAATATTCCTGTTTCTGAAACTAGGGTTGCGATTTTGACCCATTTAATAACAAGATGGATACTGACGGACAATCATTCTAAAATAGAGATAGGTCTTTTAAAGTGACAGTGTGCACCAATTATGGATAAATTTTTGAAATATTCATATCCTAGACATAATGAGCAATTGCATATAAAGCTAAATATTAAAAATTTTGAAAAAAATAAGCTTTTTATAACCTTATGGAGTTCATGAAACAAGGATTGCTCCTCTACTGACATAAAATTGTTAACAAAAACTCATATATTGTTGGAGAAAGGTTTATAACGGTCACAATTTTTGTTAAATGAATATTGTATTCACTCCCGTTTTAAGTCAAGTAACTTAACTTCTTGATCATTGCATCATACATGAAGATGATTTTTTGATTTCTTTTTCTGTTAATAAATCATCTGCTTCACCATTTAACAAAAAATGATCAGGATCTTCTTCAAGTTTATTTTCATCAGAAGGTATGGGAAAATATTCTTTATCAGTTGAATGACGATGGTAGCTTCTTTGAGCTAAGCGTGATCGCAGAGCTTCAGTGAAGTTGGCTAAATGTGAAGCAATGCTCGCTGATCTTGAAGCAATTTTGCGTAATTTCATCTCTGGCACAGATCTTCTACGTTGACTAGCTGTTAAGGATGATGATGGTTTGGATGGTATGATAGTTGATAAATGTGTAGGATGACTACAACTGAGAAAATAGCCTAATATTGGTATTGACAACGGTATGGACCATGGATCAGGTTCTGGTTCATTTAGATACTGAAATAACAATTCTTTTTCTTTTAGATTAGTTGAGAAAGGGCCCTATGAAGACTGTATTAAAGATCCATCAACATTTGGTAATAAAACAAAAGCAGACTTATTCCACTGTCATGTATAAGATATTGCTTCATTGTCCACTGCATGGTGTTACTGATATGTATTGATCCTATATGGAGCAGAAAAACAGAATAATGAAACCAAATTTTGTTTCATTTGCACAAAGGAACAAAGTTGAACCAACCTGATCATACTGATATTCTAATAATCCTTCCATTAATCTTTCTCCTCTTCTATCTTTAAATTCTAATGGTGAATGACCATTCTACAAAAAAACAACACTATCCAGTCATAGTCCTTAAAATTGTTAAGAATTTTCAACATGTAAATGATCATATTGATGAGATATATGGCGATATTGTCAAGCAAAAGCATTTTTGGGTAGAATAAATAGTTTTTGAAACGTGTATACAATTTTTGGGATAGTAAAAAATCACTAACTCTTTGAGCATTATCTAAAGGTGCGGGCACAAGAGCAGTCTTGGTCAGAGATTTTTGTCACTGATTAGAGTAAAATCTTGCGTGTGCCCATGCTTTTATGCGAGATTATCACACCCCTGACAGGATTTATAATATCATACAAGTTTGATAATTGTCTGCAAGACAGACCGTCATCATCCAATCAGAATCATTTTCCTTTGAATAGCATGCTCTGCACGTGATTATCGACAATGTGAAAAACGACTGACTTGTGATTTTTTGCATATTCAGCGACAAAAGTCTCTGAGCAAGACCGCTTGTGTGCCCACACCTTAAACAGCAGATACTACCTTGTCTACAGTAAATTCTGAGGCACCATAATCTAATAATAAATTAACCAAATTGCGTTCATTTTCCATACCATATGCATAATGTAGGGGTGTGCGAAATGACTAAAATATAAAGTTATCAAAAGATCATTATTATCAGATCTTATTTCATTTCCATCACAAGGCATTTTGAGTACGTAAAAACAGTCATCAACAAAACAATCCTTTTTGTTTTCAAGTTAGTTGATCAAAAATGATCATAAGCAATCACAAACTAATGAGAAATATTGGTGATAATTCAGCAATTATTTGCATGTAGTTGCTTAGTCCTTAGAACATTGATAATTGCAGAAATCAAATCAACACTTACTGGTTTCACCATATCTTAGGTCAGCAAACTGATTTTGAAGAAAAATATTCAGTATTTCTATAGTATATCTAAAACATTAAAATCTAGGAAAATCTATATTGAATGTTTTATTCATGATACAGAATGACGTAATATGAATATATCAAAACAAACCTGATCTCTGATAGAATCTAATCTTTGTTTTTGTTGATAAACTAATGTTTCAGCTAGTAATTGTACAATTTGAATATTATGTCTTAATACAGCTTTATGGATAGCAGGCTGACCATCTCCCTATAAATACAATAAACTACATGTAAATGTAACAGTTTGAACTTAGGATTTCAAAAGTGTTTTGCTGCAATTTAACTTCAAAGTAGGAGCTTGTGCACATTATATTTGTAGTCTAATAAAAACTTTCATTACATTTTTTATTAGCTTTTAATCTTAATATAGCCACTTCAGTTAGAGTCTTAAGTATGGCCTCTTGAACAGTCATCTTTTTTGATGACACCACCAGCCAATCAAATTTCTTCCTTCTCCAATGCTGGGATTTGTTCACACAAACAAACAAACAATTTCTATAGAACACATATACTGAGGCTTGGAGTGCATACAGAAAAAGTTACTTAATGAAAAAATAGCATTTATTCTTATTAAATGTCCTATGATTATATATAAATTAAGAAAGATATTGACCCGTCGTCTGGAGTCTGCTAAACAAGTTTCTAATATACCAAAAACTCTAGAATCTATAAAATCTAACAGATAATGTGTGGTTTCATAATCACTATTTTCTACTGCATCATGAAATTTACTGATTTGATCATAATAATCTGGTAAACAGGAGAATGCTTCTTCTTCTTCTTTTGTCTAAAATATATACATGGCTGCCTTAACTTTTGTAATCTGAATGCACCATTATTTATTACATGTGAATATAGTAAAGAGGTTTTCTGTTAAACGTCTGTAGTTCTTGCAATTCCACTAAATATAGATTTATGACGTCACTGTCACAAAGATGTTACTATAAAAATTATAAAAATTAAACACTTGCTGTTGTCCTGACAAAATTTCTCTCATTGCACACTGCATTACCTTATTTTGAGCAGAAAGGTACAAGTAGAAAAAATGAGAATATTTACCAGTATAACTTGTGGAATGTGTTGATAATTATGTAAAAATAATATTTTTCTGTTATCTTTTCCTTCAACAATCCAGCGACAAACATTCTGAAAAAAAAAATATAATATTTAAAACATATACAGAAACTTTTTGGTTTTGTTGAGACACAAACATTGATTTATTTATTAAATATACACACAAGTTCGACAGAATATAAATAAAACTTGAAAAACAAGCCATAGGCTTGAACAAACCCATCACCTAATGTAATATGTTTCATATACTTATACTGTTGTCAAAACTTGTCCATCAATGCATCTGCAGAACTTTTTGGGCTTCAATCAAGATGCACTTCAATCTGTCTTCTCATTCATAAACATATGATTTTCAAGTGTTAATAGTATTCAACTACAGGCGCTGAGAAAATGGGGACATTGTCAGAAAATTAAATGACAATTCCTTGTGCAAATGAAGTTAATACAATTCAAATACAAGTACTATCCTTGTGTTCTGAATTACACAATTTTTTTTGGTCTCTGAATACAGCTAATGTATCTTTATGAATTTCTATTCACATAAAATAAATAAAATACAGTTAAAAGAAGAAAATCAATGTGCAAATTTTAGGTAGACATTCATGATATAAGAAAATATCTGTAAATACCTTATCAATAACCTGCACAATTTTATCAGCTTGTAATTTAACTGCATAATCTCTTGCACATATGTTATCCTGTTAAACAAAAAACAACTATTAAGTACATGATAAATTAATAATGCTACAGTGTTTTAAATTAAAACTTTTAATATCTGAGGTAAAATACATTAACTTTTTTCTACAGGAACATGAGTTCATCATGCAATCAATCGTACCTTAAGCTCAGAAACTTGAATTTTTAGCCGAGATAATGGGTTATAGAGTTCACAGTCTGATGTGAGGATTTGAACCTTAGAATCCATGTATGTCCAGAATTATCCGTGTTTGAAAGTTAAAATGACAACTCCCCTTTTTTGAGCCATATATAGAAAAAGACATATATTGAAATCGAAAGTGAACTTCCTAGTTTGAAGTATTTTTGAAGGGATTATGCCATTTTTGTGCATTTCTAGAAATTCTGAAGACTATTTACATTCATTACCAAACCCTTAAAAAAGGGCAAATCATGGCCTTTAAATCAATGTCCAATTTGAGAAGTATCGCATCACAGTTTGTGATTCAAAATATGTATCTATATAACCTGAAGAAACTTACATCAATAGCATGATCTTTTAGAAGTTTTACTACTGAAACTTTTTAAATTGTTATCAAATTTAAAGAAACTAGAATCAAAATTGAACTTGATTTGCCAAAACTAAAATTTGGTGTGAATAATTGCTAATCAAATCTTAATTGAACCCTGCTTTAAATTGATCTTTATTTTGTGATTAAATACAAATATCTAGTATTGGACTATACATAAACCTTACCTGCGTATACTGTGTAACTAGATGAGCTGAACCAATATGTAAAATATAATCTATCACATCATGATGAACATTATGATCTATACAGTGAAATAATACATTTTTTCCCTGAAATATAGAAGATATTAATATACTCTGATATCATACTTGTGCTTGTTATAACCAATCATACCACAATAGGATACCTATCGCGTAAGGGTCATGATACGTATCTCAATACAAGGGTCGTGATGTGTATCGCGATAGGGGGTAATGGGATTGAAATTAATATTTTATATTCAAAGTTTCAATATATATTAATTTATAACTTTGTAACTGTGATATTTGGTAATATAGTTGAATAGAAGTGCTTAATGTCCACTGTCTTATAAATAGTTTCTATATATATTAATTTATAACTGTGATATTTGGTAATATAGTTGAATAGAAGTGCTTAATGTCCACTGTCTTATAAATAGTTTCTATATATATTAATTTATAACTGTGATATTTGGTAATATAGTTGAATAGAAGTGCTTAATGTCCACTGTCTTATAAATAGTTTCTATATATATTAATTTATAACTGTGATATTTGGTAATATAGTTGAAAGAAGTGCTTATAAATAGTTCCCAACAATTTCAGTCAAGTCATTTAAAATAAATTGTGATTCCATTTACTAAACTAATAAAAATCCCCTATTTTTAATGGAATGAGAGTTATCGTCAAGTATTGATACACGACCTTGCGATACGATACACGTATCTTGGCATGTTGTATCGCGATACATCAATTCACCGATATATCATGCCAGCACTATATAAGATAGTGGACCACAGCCATACACGCCCACCACGGCATACGGATGGTAAATATTCAAGATTTTGGGGCAAGCGCAATAACTCAAATTCGAACTTGATCTTCGTTTATTGAATATGTATACACATACCGAATTTTTTAGAGCGTTTACATGCAAATGTTGACCGACCGACAATATACGTCCACATAGAGAGATGTGGGCGTATAAAAGCTAATAAACTCTTTATTTAAAATGGGTCAAAATGTAAATTAAAATTGTTATCTTATTAAATCTTGATATGGAGACCATTTTAAAGAATCGAATCTTATTTCTAATTCATCTACAATTAAAGTAAAGTGCATTGATTAAAGTGATAGCAGGCTGAATATCCTTCTCTAATAAATTTGCTGTATGCAAAATCTGCATTTTTGTTTTACCAGCCAATCAAGCTAAAATACAGATATCAAGATCACCTTTCAGAATCAGATCTTATATCTAGTTCATCTACAATTAAAGTAAAGTGCATTGATGGAAGTGATAACAATCTGAATATCTTTATCTAACAAATTCACTATAAAGTAAAATCTGCATAGGAAAATCACTTTAAAGAATAAAATTTTTTATCTAGTTCATCTACAATTAAAGTAAAACGTATAGATGGAATTGATAACAATCCTTTTTTCTAATAAATATATCACTGTATGTAAAAATTTGAATAGGAAAATGCTGATAACTATCTTTAAGACTGATGTCACTTTCTTAATATAATTTTAAACTACAAGATGTTGTATATTCATTTTAAAAAGTGATACAGATAGCTTGATTGAATTCTATCAAAAGAATAGAACCCAACGCCTTTTCATTAGGTATCATGATGAAATTTAACCAGTTTGACAAAATACTAACAATCAATTCACAAATCCACATTATCAAGAAATCTTCACAAAAATTAATAATTTACAGCCCGATACAAAATGTCACAATGACAAACCAAGGATAATGGCACAAAGACATCCTAGAAGATAATTGAATAATCAAACCTAATCAACATCAAATGAATATAAAAAAGCATACTGTGAAAGTTTGATTGAAACCATTGTCAGTCTAATTAAAATTAGATCGAACTTTTGTTCCATTTTTTTCATTAGCTTTAATATTTTGACCTAACCCTGTTTTAACCTATCAGATTTCTGTCCTCTCCAGCACTGGCAATTTGGGAGAGAGGGAGCAATTTTATTGGTTAAAGCAGATGTCATCAGATTAGGTTTAAAGATTATTTCGAAAGATGTTTAAGGGCCCAGTCTTTAGACCCTGACTGAAGTGGCTATATTAAAAATAAAAGCTAACACAAAACAGAATGAAAGTTTGTTCTAATTTTCATTAGATTGGCATATGCATATGAATTATGTAGAGTTTTATATCAAGAGTATACTTACATTATAAAAGATATGATCTATACCAATAGGACCTTTAGGTGTTACTAGTTTTAATAACTCATTATTTACACGAGGCACTAAAGCTAACATGGCAAAATACATTGGAATATCATTCTGAAAATACATTTCAATATAGCATTCGTTACAGCAAACCGAATCTTTTCCTCTAGGTTGTCAAGGGAAGAAAGCATCCAACAAATTACAAGCTAAATTTTGTTACAAGTTCAAACAGATCTGAAGGGGATACAGTCTATATTGACTTAACCAGCTGTGAAATCTGAATTTCAACTATCCATAGCACTTTATACAACTAAAATCTGACTTCCCATTCTTCAAGAAATTCTGTGCAAATTATCCAACAGAATATTATTGATATCCAGTCATCGATAAATTTCAACAAGAATAATAAACGGATCAAAAATGATGATAGTCCAAACTTCCATGACAAATCATGGTTAGACTGCTGGAGAACTAGACTTCAGTTCTGAAAATCTGGTATAGGTTATAAGAAAAAAAGCAATTTGGAGCATGAAATATTTTTAAAGATTTATTTTTTCCCAGGTATGTGGGTCTACACATGTATGTAGCTGAAATATGATGAAATACACAAATATAGACTTCGTTGAAATTACCTCATTTTCGTCTTTCATACCTAAATCCAATCTAGCACCATTCTCTAACAGTAATTCTACTATCTCTCTATTACCTTGTTTTATACTATAATACAATGGTGTAGCACCTTTATCACCCTGCAGAAATAATAAATATTGGATTGTATTATGTAATGATTGTAATTATCCCCATGTTATTGTCCTTAATAAATCTATGTTTTGCAAATCATTGATTTTCTGAAATTACTTAAAATACACTTATTTTGATTTCTAATGAGTAACCAAATGAACCAAGAGAAATATGAAGAGCTAAGTTACTTGGCCAAAATTTATGAAAACTATACCCAAAATCTAGAGCAATGTGTCCCTTATCTTAAAGAATTTAAAAAAAAAAACTTGCTAAATTTTTGATGCCAAAACTATTTGAAAAAAAACCTTTTAAATTCGTTTCACTCTTTGCTAGGTGTTAGAAAACTACAAATTTTTAACAAATAAAAACCAAATTGTAGAATTTGAATACATCCTTTTAAAAGAAAATAATGCTGAAATTTAGAATCAGAAATGAAATGGAAGTGATATTTAATATCCATCATAATAATCTGATGGTGGAGCCCATCGGCAGTAATTTCACTGATTAAATATTGATAAACAAAGAACAGAAATTTCAGCAAGGGAAGAGATTGGTATCAGTTACAAGTATCAGAGTATTTGATTGCTGGGCTATATCTCTCCAATCTTGTTTGAATTGAAACACTTAATCACAATCTTACACTTCATAAAGTGAACATTGATTATCTAACTTACCATGTTTCTGAAGTTAATATTGAGTTTTTTCTTTGATTCCAACACATTTTTGACAGCTTTGACATCACCAGAGAGAACACCATGTGCTAAATCCTGGAACATATATAACACATTTCACATTAAAGGGGCAGTATGCAAAATTTTCAAAATCAAAAAACGTAAATTCTTAAATATGCTATTTATATCTATGAATTTACTTGATCAAACTAAAATTGTTTTAAAAGGTTTAATTGAAAACGGAGAGCACTAATTGTTAATTAAGCAGTTTGACCTAGTTTTGGTGTTTAGCTTTATAATGGCCCGATATTATTAGTTGAACCCTTACAATACGTAGGAGACATATTTTTCTCTACAAGGGGTTTCGTTTTCTTACAACTACCAAAAGCTTGTGTAAACTTTTAAAATAATTATGGCGTTAAATAATTAGTTTTTTTATTTAATACTTTCAGATACATCAAAGGACATGTTTCTCTACATACTTCTCATGAATTTGAGCGAAAAAATTTTGACCTACAAATAAAGCGGAATTCCCCATTGAAAATTTTCTGTGATCGACAAAAAAGTATTTGAATTCTAACCAACCTCTAAGCATCGATAATCTTACCATTATTGAATCAAAAGTTCTCTTTGTGTAAAGAAAAATTGATAAAAAATTGTTACTTTAACTTCAATAGTTCAGCCCAAATTAAATTCTATTTTGAGAGATATTTTAAGCAACTTGACTCTTGATAAACCAGACTACTGGTACATAATTGTGAAGCAGAAATAGACTCAGTTAATAAGACTCATAAATTTTTAATATTTCATGCAGATTTGTACAATATATCTTTGTGTTTTAACACACTGTTTTAGAACATTAATAACTTTTTAATGCCATTTCTAATATTACTGTAATCAGATCTATCTGGGTTAGCTTCTTTATTAGCCTTTCTTTGAAGTTTTTGATGAATTTTTATTTGAAACATAATTTCAATTGATTCCTCTTTAATTGTGCTATGTAAATGTTACAATTTTTGTAGCAATTCAGAAATAACAATATTGAAAAATAATTTGTTTTGTGTTAACCAATCGTATTTATGCATTCAAATTTATTCCACGATTCTATCTGCTTCCTAATTAGAAATGTATGAAAATTGAATATTTCCTTCAAAAATACCTAAACTAGGAATTCCACCTTCTATTTCTATCAGACAATTGAATTCAATTCCGGTACTTTTGGGAAGTGTAGGATGTGAATTGTTTAGAGCTTCTTATCCAGAAAGAAATGAATCTAAACCCATTACCATTTCTGGATGTTTACATCTCTCCTTTATACATGTCTTTTCTGTATAAGACAGAGTCTCAAGAAAAGACAAGTTGTCATTTCAACTTGTTCTGGTTAAGTTATTGGATGACTAAATGTTATAAATTTGGTCAACTAACTTTTAAAGTTGTTCTTTTTATAAAGGCATCAAGATATTTCAAATTCCAGAATAGTGGATATTGATGTGAATATTGCATATACCAATCAACCATCCAGATAACCTGATAATATGTGGTGAAAATTAATTACATTGATGATTGATGGAAATGTCGGTCTGATTTTATCATTTCTTTTACGAGCTACAAATTGTTCTGTAATGGGTTATAGTGTGTGATATAATGAAAATAAAAAGTTTTAATTTACAACTCTTAATGTAATGGTATATTGAATATTGGATATAATAGATATGGTGAGAAACATTGTCAACTATCGTTTCATCAGCATGCTTTCAAATCCCCAAAATGAAAGTTATTAGGTATGTAAATCACTGGTATATGCTACTAGTCTGATTAAAATTAGACCCAAACATTCGTTCCGTTTTTTTTTTATTAGCTTATATTTTTAATATAACCACTTCAGTTAGGGTCTAACAACAACCTCTGGAACATTCATCAAATTAACCTTTTGACCTAACCAGATAAACACTGCATCACAAAATGTTAGTGCTGGAGAGTGTAGGGATTAGTTAAAGCAAACATTATCGGGTTAGGTCAAAAAGTTGATTTGATGATCAACTGGGCTGTCATTAAACCCTAACTGAAGTGGTTATATAAAAATAAAAGTTGATAAAGAAAACTGAATGAAAGTTTTGTCAAATTTATATTAGACTCTATTTGCTTCCAAGCCACACAAAGTTTCCAATATCAAAGAAGGTCTGTTGCCTTCGTTGTCTTGTCCCATTCACAAATGCACAAATTGCAGATGGACGGGCATCCATTATCCATGGCCTACTTTCTTTTGACCTCCCAAATCAGATTTTTGACAGATTGGTGACCGCCCTTGATATACTGAAATTTTATCAGGGAAGTAGGTGGATCTTGGTAGGCAATCACTTGTTGATATAGTCAAGAAATTTTTACTTATTTTGTTCCACTGCATAAAAGTGGTGAAAATAAATCAACTGTGGATGAATGAAGAGGATGAAGCAACCAGATCTATATAATCAAGAATAATAACAGATAATTTAATTCTCATCTGGTATTAACTCTAGAATAGTTAATGTGTTCCATTCCAAGCATGTAATGACAGGAAATTCCAGATTGATTCTCATGATGAATAACATCAAATGTTTTTTTATGTAAATCATTCACTTTACAATAACTGATGCACTGATCAACCAGATTTTAAATCATCAGTTATTCTGCATCAGTTAAAGATCCGGTTGGCCATTTTCAAGGGTTGATTTGGGTCATGAATATCTGTAAATAGTCTTAGAACTATTAGAAAATGGACTTATTCCTTCAAATTTCACTATCTTTTTCTATACCCAGTCTTTTCTATATATGGCAGAGAAAAAAATGACGAATCAAATGCAGATAATTCTTGACACGCATGCATTTGACAGCTCAAATTTTGATGGTGAGCTACAATTAGTTTTGATAAGAAATTCCAGTTTCTGAGACTAATGTACAATTGTTCGAACAGATGGTGAACAGGTGCCTTTAAAAGATATGCTATTAGAGCACTGAAATCTAAAATACGCATCCTGGTACAATTTAAAACATAACAGACTAGACATTTTGAACCATTAATAAATCAATGGAAATATAAACAGATTCATGTTCAATATTAATCAGTCTATATTCAGATGTTAAACATTGTGACGAAATCCATTTCTCAGTGTGCAACAATACCCGGCCTTTTGTTAACATTATGAAATCAATTAATTAATGTTAGAATAGGGGGTATTGCTTGTTTTAAGAACTTCATTCAGTAATAAATTTTCATTCGGAATTTAGTGTGATAAATTTGTTGAATTGAGTTATGAATACCCTGCCTGTACAATATCTGATCGCCCGAATAGTATTAACAGTAATAATAACTGCATTATCTCCTGTGTTTCATCGTTTGAACTGTCACTGTAACCACTGACGCGCCAAATTAACTCTGTGTGCAGAGGCCTTTAAGACATGATATACCAGATAGAACAAATTATTTGCCTATAAAATGGCCAATTGGAAACTATATTCTGTTCCTTTAACATGACATATTACAAAATAAATATCTATTATTCTATTGAGATCTATAACACCATATGAGGTTTGTTATCGGTATGCTGCTCATTATTGTAATTTTGTGATATAAAGATAGGCTATTATATCTTACTCCCATGTGAAGTGATAAAGACATTAACAAAAGAAAAAATAACAGTGCTTAAAGGGATTTAGTATATTCGCTTAATAGACCTTATTTGCACGCCTGGTTTTCGAGACATTGAAAGCGACATTCATAATGTAAATAACGTCATCCATTGACAAGATGGTGAAGTCATATAAATGAATAGCCTATGTAACGTCACTAGTTAACAGTGAGAAAATGGGCTTAAACCTGCCCTTTCTCAGAAATGTGTGAAGGTCAAATTCATTTGAAATTATCATTAAATAGTTTAATCAATCCCAATTTTATGATGTAAATCATGATTAGTTTTGAGTTAGAGAGATTGACGAGGGAACGTCATAATAGATGTCAAGTTGGCGATTTTACTGCAGTGACATGTTACCTTTGTTTGTTTGTGATAAGCTTCATTTTTGATTCGATATGGTCGACGCGTGAATAAGGTCCATATGTGAGCTGATAAATCTCAATTCAGCATTTCTTTTTACTTTTACACAGAATTGAAGTCGGCATTTTGGTTTTCCTGCAATTTGACAATAAGATATTTGAATCCGGAAGTTTACAGTGTTGTCATCTCAAGTTTTTTAAACATGTTCTCATACATATTTTAACCATATCATAACATCATGTATGATATTTGCTCCTCAGAATGTTTCTATAGTACTGGAAATGAGCACAGTCTATACTTCTTAATCTGATTTAGCTGAGAAAAACCCCCAAAACATCAGACTTTTATGCAGAAAATATAGCAAATTATTCAATCCCCATTGGTTGAAAAGATATCCAAATGAAGAATCATGAAAACTGCAGTAACATTTATATCATTATTCATTATTCATAATATACATGTGTAAGTTCTGTTCTCAATATATTATCCTTTATATCTCATAAATGGCATGACTATGTGAGTTCATTATTCATTACTTAAAGGTGAACTGCCGCAATCATATGACATAAACTTGTTTTCGTCTGGTTAGTCCAGGGCCACGTATTCTCGAAACGATCTTAGCGCTAGAATGTCCTAGTTGCTTATCTTCTAACATTGATTCTAGGACATCCTAGCGCTAAGATCGTTTCGAGAATACGTGGCCAGGGTTTTTCCAGGGGATGATTTTTGGTGGGTAATGAGGCACTTTGTGTTCTAGCATCAGTTTTTTGGACAATTATAATTTAAGTCATTTTAATCACTTAGCCTATATTCTCCAACATAAAAGAGACTACAGGAAAAACCTAAGAGAAAGTCATAAAGAGGGGTAAAAGTAAAGATTTACATGGGGAAAGGGGGTAATGCAATTGATCAAGGATCCTCAAAGTGCTAATAGAAAGAAAAAGATTGAAAACCCCTGAGTTAGTGGATCAATACAACATAGTATTTGTGCTCACACAGAACATGTTTGCTCAATTAGGTAAACATAGATCAATATTGTTTTAATATTTGATCATAATTTAACGACTGTTGGCAATTATTTGCATCTGTTGTGTTAATAAACTCTGTAAGATTGACAAATGCAGATAAAAAGTTACACAATAAAACATACAATTTTCATACAGCTGTTACATGAAGGTTTTTTTTTGTTAAAAATTTTTTCAGCATTGTTTATATTTCTTAAGAGGACATTCCGCTTTTTTTGTTGGTCAAAAGAAAATTTTGCTTGAATTTGTGAAAACTTTACACCAAAATCAAGAGAAATGTGCCCTATAACATATCTGAAAGCTGTAACTAAAAATATCCAGCATTGAAAAAAAAACCTTACGTAATTTGTGTAAAATAAATGCCTTATTGTAGAGACATGTGTCTCTTACATATTCTTAAAATATCAACTAATAATATCAAGCCATTATAAAGCCGAACACCAAAACAAGGTCAAACTGCTTAATCAACAGTTAGATACATAGATATAAATAACATACTTTTCAGGTATAATTTATGATGTTTTTGATAATGAAAACTTTTTACAAAAAAGCAGAATACCCCTTTAAACATGATGTCTGCATAACGTGTTTGAAGTAAAACAATTTATTTCCAAAGATATTACTCTAGTAAAACACCAATATTTTTTCGCTCATCTGGGAACCATGAAAATATAAACACCAGTTCATTTATTGTAATTTTATTATCTTCAATATTGTTCTGTTATGTTAATTACCGGTATCTGTCTTACGACTTCTCTTTGCTATATTTTCCAATACTTACCCAATCTTCTTCATTTCATCTGATAAAGGCATATGTGAATTGTGTTGAAACATTATGTATTTTGTTACTGAAGAAGTGTGTTATACCATGATATATTTCCTACTGTTTTTTGTTATATGTGTTCGTTCAAATCTTATCTCAAATCAAAAAGGACATTAAACATATGAAATTAACTGAGTCAGAGGTATCAAACAGACAAGAGTTTCTTTAATATAAAAACTAATTTATATTTGATATGATCTTACCATCGATGGTCTGATACAACTAACAACACGAATAATACTTTCATTACCAACTTCTAATGCTAACTGTAATAATGATTTACCATTCTAAAATAGAAGTAATAAAGTTATATCACACATGTTAATATAGGGCTTGTATTGACAATAACAACATCTTCCAATCAAAGTACAAAGTAATTATACTTCAAGGTCTTTAGCAAATAAAAATATTTCCCTAATGGACTCACAAGGATTCTCTATGAATATATATTGAAAATTTGCCTTCTTCATTCAAAAAACATTTACTGGCAACCATAGAACATATTACATTCTGAAACCCTATTCCAGAAACATTATAATTAATTAATTACTATATTTCTTACGCTCTACAATTGATATACCGTCTAATTGCGAACATAATGCACACCCCTTCCTTACATCCATAAAATCATAAAGTATGATTGGTAGAACGGATAGTGAAGATGAAATAGACCAATTCATTTTAGCAGCATGAGAATATTCACAGCCGAAGATGCATGTAGCCAAACTAGATGTTTCTGTCATGATCAAGGAACATTGGACTCAACAACCAGGCTTCACTTGCAGACAACAGCCATGATTTATGCTTTTCGATAATGTAGCAAATCCATACAAAACGTGTATATTCAAATTACTTTTAGATATAGATAGAATTACAAAAGCGGCTTTATTTCTCCTATGAATTTAGATAGATTGTGGTGTAATTGGCACAATGAAAAGTTAAAAACACCAATTACATGTTTGTCATCAAGAATGTATAATTGATGGAAATTTGAATGGAACAATTCCATATCTTAATCATTAACGCTGCCTTCATTATTATATACTAATTATTTAGATTGCATACGGCTAGTCAAGTGTTATATTGTCATACAATTGATAAATAATCAATAGACATTTACGTGGAAAATCAATTATTATAAATATTTTACTTTCATAAATAACATATCTACTTCAAAAGATCAAGTCATGCAAACCATGGAATATGTCCACACAGCTATATGTCTTTTCAGATAGAAAATTTTGAAACCAAAATTTATATTGTTAGTAAACCAACATATGCCTATCCCATCATAAATTCTTAAGTCAAAGAAATGGAATATGTGTACACAGCTATTAGCCTATAAAGATTGCAGCCAAAATCTACTTAGTATACCAACATGTAGGCTACTTATTAGGGCTGCTACGATTCCTAAAGTGGCGATCCGATACACTGAACGATACTTGTTCAACGATACGATTTATTGCAATAATAAATTGCGATTCTTTCATTAAAAGGGAAAGAAAAAGAAAACTGATAATTAATAACATTTTAACACAGTTTAAATTATTTTGGCACGCTTAGAAGTACAAAACTCACTTTTCATCATTTGTTACACAGAAGGACTAACAAATTTCTTCAAAAAAATAAATAAAATGTTTTACCATTGAATAAAGCTTCATTGAATTATTTTATGATTATGCAAACACATATTACGTTGGAAAAAGAAAAAGTTTATATCAGATCCCATGCGTTTATCTTCCACTTGGCATATTAATATGTTCTCTTTTCATCGTTTTTATCAAAAATTAAAAATGCTGAAGACAAATTAATACGTGAAAAGCAATTTTTTTACATTTTAACATGACACAATTTCTAAAATAGGATTCTGTGCTATTAGTCACTAAAGGGAGTTAATTATATTTATGAGAATTGGGCCGATGTTTCGCCATTATTGTTTTCTTCCGCAATGCATCGATTAGAAGGAACGAATCGTGGTTCATCGATTCAACGGTGAATCGTTGCAGTCTTACTACTCATCCCATCAGAAAGTCGAAGAATGAAACTAGATAAGAAAGAATTGCAGCCAAAATTTATATTGTTAGTAAACCAACATATACCTATCCCATCAGAAATTTTTAAGTCAAAAAATTGGAATATGTGTACTCAGCTATGTATAGAGATAAGAATTTGCAGCCGAAATCTACTTAATATACCAACATGTAGGTTACCTATTCGATCAAACATTCATAAGTCAAAGACCATGAACCATCAAAAGAATGATGTAAACTTCATCTACAGGTTTCCCTAAAACACAGCCAAATACTTTGAAGTCATAATAAGATAGAAAGTATTATATTCATATTCCAAACTTGAATTATCTTAATACTTAAAGGTAAAAGTTATGCGATGCCACTTGGTACTCTTCAAATATTTATTTACATTTTTTGGAAACATTAATTGGTATGTAGGTAGATATTTTGGTTAAAAAAATAGGGATAAATGGTTTTATAAAAAGTTTGACATATTCTCACTGTATGCTATTTCGGTATTGCGTTACGGCGCCAAGAAAACAAGAGTAATAGAAGTACCATACTGATATATGTAGATAAAATCATGTTATATAAACAAGTATTATCAAGTAAGATTGACACTAGACAAGTATTATTTAGTATGAAAATTGGTAGAAAACTCAATTACCTTCTGTAACAATATTCAGAAAAGAACTCAAATTCTGAGAAAATGTCAATTTCGTGAAACTCTGAGTGTTTATATGTTGGTTGTTCCATGACATTATGTCAATTTCCATCCATTACAAATATATCTATTATTAGGTCCATGTGTACATGGATAAGAAATACTGTAGTTGTAAAAACGATTTGTCTACCAACCATATAATAAGGCAAATTAAAGGAACGAAACTATCAAAATTTACTTAAAATTGATATCATCTTGACCATGCTGGCTTAAGCCGTGAATAAACGAGGTATGGTGTATGTGCAGAATAATCGATACAAATGAAAATAGAAGAAGTGGTACAGGTCCAGACACAGTGCGAACACTATTGGTTTCTTTTATTTTCTACTGTATTGATAATCTCGGACTGTACATGTTAAAGATATCTTTACCTTTACAGTTGTAAATTGAAAAATTGTGTAGGCTTATGCTGCTGTCCTGGTAAAATTTCCCTCATTGCAACCTGCATTGCGTTGCCCATCTTCATTAGCACACATGTTGCAGAAAAGTAGCATGTAAAACTCCATTCATTTAATTTTTTTTTGCAGACTACTTTAATTGCCAAAATAGTGCACATAATGCACTCCCATTCTTACCATTGAGTGAATACACACTAAGACATTCAAAGCATCTCATCCTGGTAAAACTAACTTTGTTTAAAATGAAGATTAGCAGTAAAAGGCACATAAATACCAAGATGTCACATACGTGACAAAAGTATAAATAGTTAAACATACCTGCTGAACATCAACCCGACTCCACTGGTTTACTAGCTTTCTTACGTTCATAGCATCATCACCTTCTACAGCTTCCCATATTCCAGGCTACAATTACAAAATACCATAATAAACATCCATAAACTCTACATTAATTAAAGTTTGTCACATACTTACTGAGCAATGCCAAAAGAAGAGTCCTGGTACTGTAAAAGTGGTTCTTTCCATTTTGGCACACTCAGCATCAGCAGCACAAAATACAGCCTTAAGCCCCATCCCCACATGCCTGGACTTCAGCCAGGAGTAGGCCCAGACAAAATACCCTGTTATATCCCGGACCACCCCCAAAAAATGTCAAAAATAGTTTTGCAGTCACATATACCCAGACAAGACATGGAAGAACCAAGAAGTAGTTATGGACGACATCCAGACCTAGAAAACCCCGGAGAGGACACAGAGTTGCCAAGGTGTAGACCTGGACGAAGAAAATGAGACCCAGATGAATCCTTTAGTTCTAGGATAATTTTTATCAAAAGTTATAATAGTATCTCATCAAATTTGCATGGCACTGAGCATAATTTTGCTATATTTTGGGTCAAGAACAAGGAGAAACTCTTTGATGCAAATCATAATTATACAGGTTTTGACATATTAACCCATATTAAACTAAGCCCACTACGCTTCCTTATGTGGGTGTGGAAATGAGACCCATTCTTCCCAGCTAATAACTATTCCAGAATACACTTTTGCCTTTTTTTCAACTTCAATTCTTTACCGAAATATCTTACTAAATTCTAACATTATTAATCAAAATGGGATGATCGCAAACAAAGCATCATTAGATGTGATATAATTTGATTTGATTTGATCGACTGAGATTTTACTAGAAAGACTTCAGGGTTAATTTTGATTGGACAATATTTGGCTATGAACACGTAATTATTCTCCTATATTTTGTATAACCAAACCCTCAAGAAAGTATGACGAAAGTATATCAGACACGTAATAGGATAACTACAGATTGTCATGTTTTAAACACATTATTATTATCTTCAGTTACCAAAAGATCAATAGTCTAGAAATATCAACATGGAAACAGTAAACTTAAATATTTCATCAAAAAAGTTATTTGCAACAAAAGCACTTTTATTTCTCAGAAAAACGGATAAATTAGAACTGAAGAAAATAATTGTCAAAAATCAAAATAAAAATGAATCAGAGTTCCATAACATTTTCATTGCTTCAGACTGCCAACTACTCCTGTATGAACAAGGACAATACATGCAGTGTGCAACAAGGCTATTCTTTTTCGATTACACATTTGCACTCACAAGAAAAATTCATCTTAGAGCCCTGTTCCCAAGCTGGTGTGTGTTCACCCCCTGGGGGTGTGGGACTAGGGTGTCAGTGGTGTGGCCAACTGGTGTAGGAGAAGAATATGTTTTGAATTGAGAGAGCACCTTACATTTTTTTTTTTTTTTAAACAATATTTATTCATGATTTACAATGGATAATTACATGATATGAGCAATGGTTTCAGAAACAAGCCGAAGCTTATACTAATCCGTTACCAATCTATTTAACATTCAAATATACAATTATAATTTATTTACATTTCTATTATATTGTTATGTCAATATAGTGCAGAAAAGTGAAGAACAGTGATTTTGGCCTGGGTTCGAGGAAGGAGACAGTGTTCAGATGCTATACATATCTGCTGCGTGATCACCAAAGCTATTTGTGAAAGGTTGGAGTAGTACAAAATAGGTAAAA